GGGTCCTGGGATCGAGCCCCGCATCGGGCTCCCTGCTCAGCGGGAAGCCTGCTTCTCCCCTTCCCACTCCCCCTGCTTGTGTTCCCTCTCTTGCTGTCTCTCTCTGTCAAATAAATAAATTTTAAAAAATCTATCTTTGGGATACAAAATATAAATGTTCATCGTGGAAGAATTGGAAACCATGAATATCGAACTAGCCAGAGATCACCGCTCTTAACGTCTTGACGTATTTTCTCACAGACTATGTGTTTTTTTAATAGATAGGGATCATTTTATGTGCATAGCTTGCTTCTGACTATTTCACTAAACATTAGCTCTTGAGCAATTCTCGAGTCATTAAGTATTCTTTGAAAATACAATTTTCAGTGACCTCATAATATTCTGTAATACCGGTGTACCATAATTCATTTTCGCGGTGTCCCCTTGTTGGGCATTTATCATATTGTTCTCTATTATAAATAACACAGCAGTGAATGTTTTCCCGTGCTTCTCTGTGGATCCCCCTGGGATAAGTTCCCCAAGTGGAATTATTGGCCAAAGGCTATGAACCTTTTAAAAGTCCTTGAGAAACTAGATCAAGTGCACCTGCAGGAAGGTCCAGAGAGGCCGGTGTCCCAGCGTCTACCAACGTTGCCTTCTGGTAGACAAGGTATATTTGAGATATGACCAGACTCCCAGCACCGGGCTTCTCCTTGAGAAGGCTCAGGGTATGAAACTGCGGCTCCCCAACATTTGATGTTGAAGGTCTGTCTCACTGAAGGGGGTTTGGATTTGTCCTTTGAGGCCTCCAGGCTAAGGCCCGCACCAACAGCACGACGATTTCTGTCGGGATTCTAGGATTCTAGACACCAAGGAACGGGCTTCCCCACCCCACCCCAGGCAGCAGGATCTCTGCCCCAGCTCTGTTGAGGCTGAAGCTGTCTTTGAGGTTCAAGGACCAGATGGCAGGATAGACCCCAGGACCCCTGACACCCTACCACTGGGGCACTGTAAACCGACCATCTCCGCAGTGATCCTAACCTTACGAAACACTGACAAACCTTGACTCTGCTCCTTGGACACGTTCTACATCTCTGCTCCCTCGGCTGTGAGATGAAGCTCTTATGAGGATGAAATCTGATTACATTAATGATGGCTGTTAGTGTCGCTGTGCGAATGAGGAGGAGAGTGAGGGAGAGAAGGCGGTGTTGCGTAGAAGTTACAGACCAGATCCGGATTTGGTCTCAAGCCACCCCCCCATACAGAAAATGGAATAGAAAACAGAGGGATTTGGGGGCCTGGGGAGAGGACTCTTCACATTTTTTTTTTAAATACAGAACAAGCTTCCTTTAGAACATCTGGCACCTGCATTTTATTTCTTTGTTCTTTAATTTTTAGGCCTCTCAAAGCAGTAATGGTCCAGAGCTCATACTGCCTAGTGACGCTACAAGGCCTAGAGCATAAGTGGTGCGCCGCAGTCTGCTCGTACCGGCTCATGAGAGCCTGTTGCTACATTCTTAGGAGCTCTGCAAGCCGATTGGTACACATTATTAATTATTGGTACACAGTATTAATTATTAAAAATTAAGTTACGCAAACTTGCAATTAAATAAATTCCATCAAAAACAAAGGTACTAAATGTTAACAATTCGTTACTCCCTAGTTACTTGACTAATTTCCGTGCTCTCCAGGTGACTGGTGTCTATTATACCCATGGTAGAAATCTCACATGACTGTGGACTGTTGTGAGTCTCTTCTGAGCCTACTGTTGGTGACATCAACCTGGTAGATCAAAGTTAGCATGGTGGGAATATTTACACCACTGAAATTGGCAAATGCTCCAAATGGGGCCTTTTTTTCCCGGAAAACCAGTTAAACAGTTACCGGCACACCCCTGCCTGTAACTTCAGTCCCTCCCCCACTTCACTACAATCCCCAAAGGGAGCTCCCTTCATGGATTTTAGCTGTTTCTTTTTGCATTTATCCCCATATTTCTTAATTACATGCTTTCACCGCCATGTCTAGATTTTTTAAATCTTAGACGTTTATGTTGACTTCCTATTATGGAAGATGAGGATCTGGCTCTCTTCCAGCTCTTACTACACACACACACACACACACACACACACACACACACACTTTCCCTACCTCTGTGCTCCCAATATGTTATAGTATAACTCTTGTTTCAATAAATATTCAAGATTTACATTATTACAGCTATGTAAATATTATACATATATCATTATCACTATGATTTACATTAGCTTTCTTACACAACCTTTTTCCTGGAGTTAATAATTACATTTTTTTATTTACTTGATTTCTCCATAGAACAGTGGTTTTCAGATGTTTTTTCTTAATAGTGGAACTTGTCTTTCAAACAAAATGTTATGTGAAACCTTACCGTATAAAATAGGAAAAGCAGAGTCGCCAGGTCGAAAGGGAGTTCTTCCCTTGAGGGCTGCCATGTACAGCTAAGTAGGTTGTGCACTGCGCAACTACAGAGGTCACCGTTCACATAAGCAACAATGTGATTTAGTCACGACAATCATAATTCCCTACCCTACTGGGGAATGCATCCATTGTGTAAGGCAAGGTCCTCCTGGGAGTATACATTACATCAGGATCATTCTCGGCTTTAAAAAGACTTATTCCCTTCCCAATGCAGGGCTCTGACCTCACTCCATTCTGAATAGGTTCCAGCGATGTTGCTTAACCTGTCCCTCTCGGCTTCGGGCCAGAAGCTGCTGTTAGCTGATGGCCACCTATTGACTGATTCAGTGCCCCTTTGGATATGCCTGGGCTGGGCTGGGTGCCAAAAGCGTAATGCAGACAGCTTTGCTCAGGGATCACTCAGATGCAGCCTGTGGGATCAAATGTAAGGAATGGTGCTGTCAGAGAGTGTGTGAGCTGTGGGAGCAGACAAGGCAGGGCCTATCTGCCCTTGGAAGTCAGGGTTGGAGGAGAAGGGTTGGCCCAAATGAGCAGTGGGATTCAAAAAGCTCAGCCTTGAGGGTCACCCCTAGGCAGGAACCCCTGACTTGCTTTCATCTGGGTAAACTTGGGCAAGTGACTTAAGCTTTCTGGGTCTTCAGTTCCTCAGACCTAAATCACAGGATGTGTGAGAGTAAAAGATCATGTGTAACCCTGACAGATGCCATGGTCACATGTGGCTCAGTCTCTGCTTAGAGTCTCATTTAAAGAAACAGTCAAACAGCCCAAAAATAATTGAAAAGGTATCCCCGTTCTAACTGCATCCCCCATAGAATGGCAAAGGGGACCCCATTCCTAACTTCTGGTGGTGCCCCCAGATCTCGTTTGCCTCCATTCTGTAATTTTCCCACAATGCACGGTGCCCGCAAAGCTCCCCTTTGTACACCTCCGATACATTTTTCCCCCTCTCTCTGTCGCTGCCTCATTTCTCACCCTCTGTACCATTGCCATTTAACGTTGGATCTGTTTCTTCTCTACCCATCTCGGCCACTGCTGTGTCACAAAAAGTCAGAGGATCTGGAAATGAGCTGCTAGACATGTGGGCAGAAAGTGGGTGGGGAGAGGTTACAGCAGGACACACTCTGAAATCACTCTTGCCCCATCATGCTGGTGAAGCATAAGGCACATGAAGCAGAGGCTTTGCAAAAATTGGTTCTCTTCTTCATTAGTCCGTTGAGGGACCTAAAGCGGGGGTCAGGGATGGCCTGCCTGAGGTGCCTCCAATGACCTACCCACTATCAGCCGATGGGAAATGACTGGGAAAATCCTCCCTATTTCCTCTGATGCCCCCAAAAACCTAGTATTAAAAAGTCCTGGGGAGGGAAACACAGCTTCTGCCTATAATTTTCCTTCCCTTCATTAAACATGGACTTCCCTTCCCTTCCCCTTCCCCCACATTCTTTGTTCCATCTTTTGTGGAATTCATTCCCTTTGAAGGACATCTTTCAGGTCATGTACCTAGCACAGAGCCTGTGCCAGGCTGGTAAGGAGCTGGATAATCAGAGACAAGAGACAGATTCTGTCCTCAGCTGCTCGCAGACAAATAGAAACAGGCTGCAATTGCACATGATGGTGCCTGTAATAGAAAGAAGCCTAGAATGTTATGAGCACCCAGAGGAGGAGCTCTTCACCCATTGAGGGATCAGGGAAGACTTCCTGGAGGAGGTGTTATTATCTAATCTGTATGATAATAATACTACTAACATATATTGAGCATTCACTGTAATGATAATCTCCACACGAAGCATTTTGCTAAGCGTCAGCTCATTCAATCTTCACCAAAGGCTAAGAGGCAGATGTTACTCCCCTCATTTCAGAAATGAGGAAACTGAAGCTCATAGAACTTCACTGACTTTCCCACGGCCATGTCGCTAAAAGGTAGCAGAGCTGTAATTCAAACACAGGTCTGTGTGCCTCCGTAGACTATGCTTTGAACCACAGGGCACTGTGTACAGGTGTTTAAGATGTGCACTGAACAAGCATCCACATCTGGGAGCGGCACAGTTCACAGCGTAGGCAGAGTGACACGTATGACAGTGTTCAGGTGGACCCAGAGACTCAGGCCTCTTTGCTGATTCCTGGAGCAGCAGGAAGGAGCCTCCTCCCCTGGAGGGCAGGGGGCGGGTATGGGCACTGGGGAGAGTACATATGTTCCCGTGTCTGGAGGTGTGGGCTGCCCACTAGGCTTTGGTTGTTCAGGCGAATAGGACCATCCTAACTTTAAACTTTTTTACTTGAGGAAGGGATACCTTTTCCTAATGTGCACAAAGGCATCCATGGACCACCAGTGCTCCTGCCTTATCGCTCTGCTGTGTGTCCCCTGCCCCGTGACCATTTGGTGTTGGGGAGGACACAGGCACGGAACAATCTGGACCAGCCTGAGGCAGGGAGGCAAAGGTGAATAAGACAATGGCAGGTCCTCTGGGACCTTCCAGTCCAGTTTAGAAGCCTAGAATAAAGGCTCTCCTTTCAGGGTCACCCGAGGACCATCGGACTAATCCTCTTCTCTCTTTCTTTCTCCTTGGCAGACGGGCAGGATTGAACCCAACTACCCCAAGGTCTGTGGTCACCAGGGCAACGTGCTGGACATCAAGTGGAACCCATTCATTGACAACATCATTGCCTCGTGCTCAGAGGACACATCGGTGAGCAGGAGTGGTGCTCCCCAACGAGGGCGGACCCCCAGGGGGCTCCTCCCTGCTCTCCCCCTGGAGACCTCCCTTCCTAAACTCCTCTCTTTCTCCCTTCTTTGCCCTTCTTCTGTCTTCTTTTCATCCTTCCAGCTAGCCCCAGGATGGGGAGGGAGTTAGGAAATGGACTGAGAAAGCGAATCCATGGAATATTTGGCAGATCTTGCGCCTTTAGTGTGATGTCGTTTGGAGGTGTTGATTTTGTAGGTGAGAATTAAAACACAAAGTTTAGGTATGTGATTCAGCACTTGTGTGTGGTCTCAAGAGAAGACCGTCCTCCCTGTCCTGGGCTGGGCAGGATGCGGCTGGAGCTGGGGGGTTGCAGGGCGCAGGGGTCGGTGCGGCGAGCACAGGGGGGCAGCAGGAGAGACAGCAGGTGGAGGAAATGCCCATCCTGCTCTTCGGGGTGCAGGGAACTCAAGGAGGCATGCCAGCGACCACAGCTGGCTCCGTCTCTGCCTGCTGAGGTGTTGGGTGCCTGTCACCAGCCATGAGGGAGCAGACACGCTCCAACTCGGGGCTGCCTCATACCGAGTGCCATTGGTCCTCACGGCCACGGCCAGCCCCACACTGAGGGCCGGGCAAGGCCCCATGCTAGGAAGTACAGGAGGGCTGCCGGCCGCCCAGGCCCTGCTCCCCCTGCTCAGCCACGGTTCGTCAGGACACCGACCCACATGCTCCGGGCTGGAAGCCTCTGGCCCTCTCCCCAGGGCAGCGGGCTGGGAAGGAGAGGAGCAGTGAACAGCTTGGTGAGGGGACGGACAGATAAGCCAGGGCTCTCGGACTCAGTGGCCGCGCTGGCTCCACCTCTGGTTCAAATCTCTGCCAGACTGAGGGCGAGGGCAGGAGGGTCACTGACCGGGGCAGCCCTGCCCGGCTCTAGCTCAGCACCTTCCTTCCGCCGGGGGTGAGTCAGGCACCTGTTGCTCCACGGGCCCGGCTAATAAACCAGGCGTCCACGCTGTGGCTGCAGGAAAAGCGTCAGGCCCGGCGCCCACTCCGCTAGGGGAGCGGCTCTCTTCAGTTCGCACACTCGGACCCCTGCGCACGGACCGGGATTGCATCTCCGCCTGCCCGCTTGCCGGCTGGGTGACCAAGGGCAGGTGACTTGCCCTCTCTGGGCTTCAGTTTTGCTCCTCCGTGTCACAGCAGTGATGAGATGGGCCTTGGGCAGTTGCTGTGAGGAGGAAAAGGGGTCTGTGCCTAACACTGCGCCCGCTGGTCTGTCCTGCCCCAGAAACACCACCCGTAGAAGGGCAGGGACAGGCCGCGCACTGAAGTGCCACGCAGAATGAAGTCACTGCGCCACGGAGGTGGGACAGAGGGCCCTGTGCTCAGGGGGGTGGGATTCATGTGGCCAGAAGGGGAGGGGTCGAGGTGGGGGGGAGATTCGAGAAAGCGGGGCCCTGGAGAAGCAGGACTGAGAGCAGAGAAGGGGTGGAAGGAGACCCGGGGGGAGGGTCTCGGGCCCCAAGCCTCTGTAACAAAACACCAGGCCGGGCGGCTCATAAAGAGCACGCGTTCATTGCTCCCAGTTCTGGAGGCGGAAGTCCAAGGTCGGATGCCAGCATGGTTGGGGAGGGCCTTCTTTTTGTCATATGCCCACGTGGCGGCCGGAGCTGGGGTCTCTCGGGAAGCTCTCTGATAAGGGCACTAACCCCGTTCCGGAGGGTTCCACCCTCGTGACCTCCCACCTCAATACTATCAGCTTAGGGGGAAGGATCTCAACATATGTGGGGGGCACCGCACACCCCGGGGGTCAGGGAAGGGGAGTAGCAGGCCAGAGCAGGGGTCACGGCTGGCTCTGCGGGGGAGGGCCCCACCAGCCCCGGGATGTGGCTCTGCCAAGAGGAGGGGAGCACCCAGGGAGGAGCGAGGCTGCCAGGGGTGGGAGACAAAGGGAAAGGAGAGCAGGCCCTGGGGGCACAGCGGGGATGGCTGGCCCAGGGGCCCCCCCAAGCCACAGAGAAGGAGATGAAGTCTTCAGTCAGAGAGGAACTAAGCTCTCGTTCCACCCCTGGTCCAGCTGCCGCCCCCCCCCCCCGCACTTAGCCCCTGTCAGGTGTCCATACCCCCCAGAACCTCAGGACCAGTGGAGCCAACAGGTCCCCCAGGCTGGAGCAGCCCCTCCCGGAGAAGGTCCCTGAGGCCCAGGGTCACACAGGGAGGCGGGGCACAGGGAGGGCCGGCCCCCCTCAGCACCCCACTGTCGGTCCCGGGTTTCCAGGTGAGGGAACTGAGGCACAGAGCCACGCAGGCCTGGCAGTTTGGATCCATCCAACACTCAGTATTGACATCTCTGAGTCTTCTCTGAGCAGGGCCCAGCCCGGACACCCACCGAGGGCACAGCGGGGAGGCATCCTCCGAAGCAGGGCCTGGGAGGAGTGGCACAGAAGGGGAAGGAGCCTGCAGCTCCCCAGCTCAGGTGAGGAGGCCTGTCCGCAGACCTCAGTGCCAGGCACCATGCTCCTCACGGGGGCTGGGGAGCTGGAGAGTAGCTGTGGAAGCAGGTCTGGTCCGGGTCCCCATGTCTCTCTGCCCACCTCTGCTTGGACACTCAAGGGAGTCAGCAAGCCCTCCCTGCTCCCCAGCTCCCTTCCCATATCCCCCACCCCTGAAAAACCTCCAGGGAAATCCAGGCCCCATGCCCAGCCCCTCCCCCAGAGCCGAGGAAGGCCTTAGGAGTCTGACCCCGTCCCTCCAGGGCTCCAGTGGCACATACCCAGGCCCTTTCCCAATGGGCTCCTGTCCTGCGGGAGAGGTAGGGGCCATAACTCTCCCTGGCATCTGGCAGAATCCAGTTCTTTCCGCCGCTGGGTGATGTCACCTATTGTTGAACGGCTGTGCTTTTTATAGCTTCGGCTGCAGCTAGGGCGGGTGGTTGGCAGGCGGCAGGGAAGGGCTCTACGGGCTTCCAGCTCATGCTCCCAGCCTTCCCAGAGGCCCAGCAGCTGCAGAGAAAGGGAGAGGTTTCTGACATCTCAAGGAGAGGGGAAAGAGTGGTCCCAGAAGGGAGGGGGAGGCAGGCCCCTCTCCCTGGTGGGCTGAGCTCAGCAGCTTTTCCTCTGCTCCTTTATCCAAAGGCTGCTGTCCCACCCCACCCCCACCTCCCAGAAAGGATGCCCCTCCCCGAGGAGCTGGGAGTGGGATGGGGCAGGATGTCAGCCCAGCAGGGAGCATCCAGAAGCCACCCACCACCCTGCCCTTCTCATCTACACACACGCACACACGCACGCACACACACGCACACACACGCATGCTAGAGAACTGATACCTCTCGGAGCTGGAAGGGAGCACCGTGCCCCTTCCAGCGATGGAAGGACAGTAGCCCAAGAGAGGTCAACGGGCTGATGGCGGCCTCGCCCACAGACCTGGGACTGCAGAGCGAGTGACAGTGTGGCTCTGTAGCTGGGCTCAGGAGTCCGCAGGCCTATAGGCTCTGCCACTTCCCAGGCCTGTGACCTTGAAACAGTTTCTTTAGCTCTCTGGGCACAAGTTGCCCTCCTGTCAAATGGAGATCATACTGGACTCAGCATCAGAGCCAAACGAATATACAATGTTTCATGTTTCTTGTCTACTAAGAACTCTAGGGCCCCTGGGGAGTCAGAGAGCTGGAGCTGGAGACCCGGGGCTCTTTCCTCTGCATCTCATTCTTTGCTCTTTGAGCCCCCAGGTAGGCCTTCTGTCACTGGTTTCCAAAAAAAGACTAAGCTGAATGGTGAACCTCAAGATCCAAGAGAGAAATCCCCCACCCTTTCCAAACCAGGAGTACAGGGGTGAATCCCCATCTACCCAGCTCACCACCGGCCAGAATCAAGGCTGGCCAGCTCCCTCCAAGTCGGGGGCTGACTCATTGTTGAGCCTGCTGCTGATGTGATAGCAAGGTTTCTGGGCTTCTAGGATTCTTCCATTGGCTCATGCATTCCAAAGGGATGGGCCAAGCACTATCCCTTGCACTGAAGGCAAAGGTGGGACTTAGAAGATCGCACCCCTGTACGGAGGAGTCAGCCATCCAGCAGGATGGCCTGGCAGGTTGTCGGTGCCCCCAGAAAGGTGATGTCTACATACTTGGCACTGGGGAGCTGCTCTCTTTTTGGGGATAGATAAGCAGGACAAAGCATGGCCTCTCCAAGGTGTCAGATTCAATCCAGAGGAGAAGGAAGGCTTTGGCCCGCCATGTAAGGTCAGGGCCTGGATTTGAACAGAGCTTGTCAGACTGCAAAGGCTCTCACATTGTTGGCCTGCTGCTCCCTCCCCAAGCACAGGGACACTTGGTTTTGTAGTTTTATTAACCATCCTTTGCTGTCTCCCCCACAAAACTGTGAGCTGCCCCCAGTCTAGTATGTGGGACCCAGGCAGACTCTGAGCATATTTTGTTGGATTGAATGTAACTGACTTAAACAGGGCTCTGACCCAGGGACTTACGAAGGGGCACAGCTGGCTTGCTAGAGAGAGCATTTTGCCCCAGCTCTCCACCCCTTCCTTCCAGAAATCCGGTTCCTCCAGCCCTATCAGGTTTCCTGTTGAAGCAACCTCTGAGCAGATCCACAATGCTCCTCCCACACCCATCCTTTCTTTGCTTCAAACAAATCCCTTGAATACCAAGGGATTGGAATTCCTTTTTCCAGCTACTTAGGCCCACTATGACCTCCAGCTCCTATGGCGCTTGGGGCCAACTATTTGCTGTAGCAGTAGATCAAGTAAAGCCAGTCTCTCCCACCTTCCCCAGGGATATACTCACTGGTGTCAAAAGCAGAGAACTTGGGGAGATTAACTAGTATTGCCTCAAAGTGCAGATGAGAACACTGGGAAGGAAGTGGCTGGGATCAAATGAGGTTATGGGAAGGTACCTCTCTCCCTCTCTGCAGGACATTTTTCATCGGGTCCCTCCAGCCCCGCCTGGGATCCTACATCTCACAGTTCTTGGTGAAAACTGCTCTTTGGGCCTCCCCCTGCAGGCCTCGGCTCCCTGGGACTCGGATCCAATCCAGAGGCTGAACCTGGGCACAGACACAACCCGCCCTCCCCATCCCCTTGGTTTAGCTCCTGGGTTCCTAGGCAGAGCTGTCTTCCTAACAAGTCAGCTCATCTGGCTAGAAAGCCTCAGACTCACAAAGACATGAAGCCCAGTTTAGTTTAACCCACACACCTCTAAATGGTGCACATGTCTCTGTTCATCAACTGGACAAGGAACCTGAGCCTCGGAGAGGTCCCCTGGCTTTCCCAGGTCATCCAGCCAGTGGGTGGGATTAGAGCCTGGGTAGACCCTCACTTCACAGCTTCCCTCATGCCTCTACCTTCGCCTGGCATGGGACATTACCCAGGGATGTGCCTCGGTTAGCTGGATGCTCAGGAATTAGGCTGTTGGGGGAAGGGTCCCCTAATTAGAAACTTTTTCTCCAGCATGTTTGTTAAACTGAGAAGGGTACACCAAAGGGTGACCCCAAACCTTTGATTGAACTTGCTTTCTCACCCTGAGGCCTCCCGTGTCTACATGTGCAGAGCTGGGTCTTCGGGGGACACAACAAGAAGGGAAACCGCCACAGGAAGGGCCTTGGGGGCACCCCCAGTTGCCAGCCCTCCCCCCTGTCCTGAGGACTGCCTTTGGAGTTCCATGTTTATTCATAGGCTTCAGAATTATCACCCACTAGTTAATATCGCATAATAACATGACATACTAAATTGCTCCCCAAATGTCGGTCACTTGGAGTGTTTCTAAATTTTTCGTGTTGCGGTGAACACCTTCATGCACGGAGATTTTTGCTTATATTGGATTTTCAGAGTGAAATTACCAGGTCAAGCAATACGACATAAATGTCTTTATGGTTCCTGCAAAAAATTGCCAGATTGCTTCCAAAAGAATTACTCAGATTTATAATACTACCAACACCGATTGCATCTACCAGTTCCAGTATATAATCTTGCCAACTTCGGCTCTCCCCCCACCTCCCAGTTGGCTACTTTAGAAGATTATAAATGGTATCTCAAAGCTGTTTTTCCAGTTTTTCTCCTTACTGGCAAGGGTGGAGTTCAGATTTTCAAAAGATTTGCTTTAAAGGTGCCCTAAGTTGTAGAGACGTGTGCTCTTTCTAGTCAGAGCATAATCAATAGCATTCATGCTGACAACGATTATAACAAGGATGAGAATTCCTTAGGTCTTTTGAGCACTTTCCAGTTTACAAACTTGGGCAACTAGCATCTCATTCTATTCCTCCAGGAGGCAAGGCAAGGCAAAGAGTTTTTTTCTCCCATTTGTGGATGAAACAGTTGCAACTAGGCAGAGAATGTTTGGCCCAGGAAATGGAAGCCCACCCGGGGCTGTTGTCAGTAATCCGGAGGGTACTCAAAGATGGCGGACCAACTGCGCACTTCCGCTCTCTGGGGCCACGTGGTCTCTGCTCTCTGTTCCTCCGTATGTCCCATCCTCCTCTTGGCCCATCATCTCTTTCTGCTGCTTTCTTTCTTTTTTTCTTTCTTTCCTTCTTTCTTTCTTTCTTTTTAAGATTTTATTCTTTTTAGAGAGAGAGAGAGCACAAGTGGAGAGGAGAGGCAGAGGAAGGAGCAGACTCCCCATTGAGCACAGAGCCCAACTCAGGGCTCCATCCCAGGACCCGGAGATCATGACCTGAGCTGAAGGCAGACGCTTAACCAACTGAGCCCCCCAGGCACCCTTCTTTCTGCTTCTTTACCAGCATCTACAAGACTGAAAGTAGCAGTTGCATCCAGGCTCTGCCCGTCCTCCTGGTATAGGCTCCAAACATCTGATCAGTCTCTGCCCCTTGGAGCCTCACCTCTCAGGAGAGACTCTGGGCCTCCCAGCCTCCCAGATGGGTTTTCCTCTGCTCTCGAGTCCACCTTGGTGAGGAGCAGAGTGAGGGACAGGGCCGTGTGAAACCAACAGAGCTGCCGAGGCTGAGGTCAGAGCTCTTAGCAGGGCGTGGGACGTGGGAAGCAGAGGGAGACTTTTAATACAACACTCGCCGAGAGGTGCTTACTGTGTGATGTGCGTCCTGGAGCCTCCCCCGGACCTCAGTCAGGCTCTGCCCACCGGACGGGCCAGGGGGTGTCCCACGGCACAGATCTGGGGAAGCCTGGGGTCTCAGGGAGAGGGCCGGCAGGGGCTGCCCCTGGCCCTGCCCACCCAGCCTCGGCCCTCCACCCCGCTCTGCAGGTGCGGATCTGGGAGATCCCCGAGGGGGGGTTGAAGCGGAACATGACAGAGGCTCTCCTGGAGCTGCACGGGCACAGCCGGCGCGTGGGGCTGGTCGAGTGGCACCCCACTACCAACAACATCCTATTCAGTGCTGGCTATGACTACAAGGTGAGCAGCCTGACAGCAGCTGTGTCCCAAGCCAGCTCAGTGCTGGGGGTGGGGGGAGGTAGGGAGGACTCTTCAGAAGCCACCTGTAGGAGCACTGTTACTCTCCTGAGCATGTTCACCAACATCGTCCCGTTTGTCTGTTCATTCATTCATTCATTCATTCATTCCACAGGACTGGGCATCTTCGGTGTGCCCTGTCATTCCTGGGGTCCACAGAGGCTGCCTCCCTGGTTTCTCTGGCCCTGACGGACTAGAAGAGAATGCCCACACTCCATGCCCACACCCTCTCCGGAGCCACTTCTTAAATCCAGAAGTGACTGTTGCCCTCCTGGTAGGAAAAAGGAGCAACCAGAATTGCTGGAGGGAAGAGAATGGCATGCCCTCAAAAGAGGTGTGCCAGTCATGGGCCCTGGCCAGGAACATTGATCCTTCTTGCTAGTAGCAGAACCCTGGGGCTGGGCTCTGCTGAGGGACAGTAGCAGATTTGTGCGACAGGGAGCATCAGCCTTTGATACAGAGTTTCATGCCCCCGTCCTGCCTCCCAGCACACCCCGACCCCACGTGGGACATCTCTCCCAGGGCCATTGAGTGCAGACCAGGGACAGACGCCTCAGGGCTGACCTGCCTCCGGCATGCCTACCCTCCCCTCGCAGGTCCTCATCTGGAACCTGGACGTGGGTGAGCCGGTGAAGATGATAGACTGCCACTCGGATGTGATCCTCTGCATGTCCTTCAACACGGACGGCAGCCTGCTCACCACCACGTGCAAGGACAAGAAGCTTCGTGTGATCGAGCCCCGCTCCGGCCGCGTCCTGCAGGTGAAGCCCCGCAGCCTTTGAGGGAAAGGGCAGGTGTCAGGATCTGGGCCGTGGCTTTTAGTCAGGCCTAGAGGAAAAGGCTATACCAGCTCCCCTTCTCCCCCACACATGGCCTGCACCTCCATGGACCAACCCCTGTGTTCTGGGTTCTTCTCAACTCACAGGGACCCTGCCTTAGTCTGGGTGGGGAGGGACCTCGGTACCCTTTCTCATCCCCACTGTACCCCTCTTCCCAGGTGGGATTCTTCTGGTGACACCCTTCAGCCCACAAATCCCGGGGTGTTCCCCAAGCCCCATCATGAGCCCAGGAAAGGGGGCTTTGGACTCACTGCCCAGCCACCTGCATGGGACGAGCCCGAGGGAGATGGCTCAGGGCACCAGCCCCAGGACGGCTCCAGGTGGGGAGGTTGCTGGTGAATTTAGCTCCAGCTTGATCTTTGAGTCTCCTGGGTCTTGACTGTGAAGAAGGAATTAGATGCCATTTGGGAGTAAGAAGTAAACACTTCCTGAGCACCTACTGCATGCCAGTCGAGGGGCTAGGTGGGGTGGAAAATGTGGATGAAATGTGAGGTTTACCTCCTACACAAGAAAGGATTGATGCTCAGCCCGGTGCTGTTTATCTCGGAAGAGTCCGAACTTGCAAGAGCAGAAAGTCATGTACTACGACCATTACAGATAATCACACTCAGAGTTATTAGCATCCTTAGGATCCAGCAGCCTTGACTCCCAGCTGGCTGTGGGGCTCCACGTCGTGACTCACTGCATCCTCCTGACAGCCTGCTAAGGTGGGCACGGCTACTCTTCCCGCTTCACGCAGGGGAACTGAGCCTTGGAGAGGGCTTGAGATGGAAGCTTAGTTACAGGCGGAGCTAGAATCCAAGCCCAGCCAGTGGCCCCCAGAGCCCCTGCTGAGCAGAAGAGCAGAGACTCCAAGCTCCACCTCACAGACATGACACGGGCCGGCGAGGTGGGACTCCTGGGGGCTACACTCGTTGGGCAGGACCGGAAGTGACACTGCACCACAAGCCTCTGGTTTCTGTCCTGATGCTGACTCATCCCAGCAAAGAGCTGTTGTGTGTTAGGAGGAAGAGGAAGGGTCATGACTTGAGAGGCAGGGGTTGGGGGGGGGTGGCAGAGGGTGGCCTGCTTAGAAGGAGCCCTGGGTGAAGCAAGTCGCCGAGCAGTGACCCAGGGAGTCCCCCGTGCTCCTGAGCCTCATCTTCATCCTCGGAGATTCCCGTCAGTAGGTCCTGTCATGACTCTTGGAAGAGATGCCTCGCTGAGAGCACCTGGCACAGCTGACGTTAGCCCCCCCTTCCCGAGCCCCCCCACCTCTGGGACACACAGCGAGGCCTGGTTTCCTGGCCCCAGGGCCCCTTTGCTCCACAGCACCTGCGTTAGCCCCCGCTGGCGGCTATAAGGACTTTCCACCGTCAGGGGCTTGGCTTACAGCAACACAAAGTGCTTCTCTCGCAGTTCCAGAGGCCACAAGTCCAAAGTCAAAGCTGCGCTCCCTCGGAGGCTCCAGGACAGAACCCTTCCTCGCCTCTTCCAGCTTGTGGCCGCATCCCTCCAATCTCTGCCTCTGGAGTCACATCCCCTCCGCTGTGTGTCTGCAGCGCCTCCCTTTTTCTTACCTCTTACAAGGATGCTCGTGATGACCTTTAGGGCCCACTTGGATGATGCAAAGCAGTTAAGGGCCCCATCTCACAGGCTCCAGGGATGAAGGCCCAAACCGATCTTTTGGGGGCCCCGTTCAGCCCATTGCACTTCCCTAGTGTCCGGGCCCTGGCTTACCTGCTCTCTTTGTCCCCACCAGGAGGCAAACTGCAAAAACCACAGAGTGAACCGGGTGGTGTTCCTGGGAAACATGAAACGGCTTCTCACGACAGGGGTCTCCAGGTGGAACACGAGACAAATCGCCCTCTGGGACCAGGTCAGCCATGGGGAGGCCAGATGGGGACACAGAAGGGTGGTCGCTCTGGGGGCTTTGCCGGGGTCGGGGAAGGTAAGGTGCCATCCTGCCGGGACACAGGCTGATACCGGTCTTCATCCCCTCCCCCCACCCCAAGGAGGACCTGTCCATGCCCCTGATCGAGGAGGAAATTGATGGGCTGTCAGGCCTCCTGTTTCCCTTCTACGATGCTGACACCCACATGCTCTACCTGGCTGGAAAGGTAGTAGAAGATGGGGGGTGGGAGGCACGGGGCGGCCTGTGGGAGACCCCACCCCCATAGTGCCCCTGCTCCTGCCCTACCCCCTAGGAAGAACCAGGCTAACCTCTCTGGTCTTCCCCTCGGGCTCTCACTCTCTTCCATCAGAACATGCCCTCGGGTCTGCCACTCAATCCTACTGAAGGGTCAATGACTGGGAATGACTTCAGAGGTGCACTGGGGTGGGGTTTACACCGGAATAAGGATCAGAGCCAGAAGTGTAGAGGACAGAGACTCGTCGTGGCATTTGAGGCACCTGCCAGGTGCTCTTTGGCAAATATGGCCTTGTGTATCAGAAGCGCTGTCTACACACACACGGCGCCCCCATCCCACCACCCCCATCAGTGCCCTGTGGCAGCCGGCCCCGGGTCTAGAGGCCAGGTCTCCCTAGTCTTTTGACCACCCCTGAGGCGCACCAGAGGCTTTCTTCAGCGGACCCCCAGGACCACCCCCTGCTTTCCTCACCTCCCTCCCTTTCTCCCTGCCCCCAGGGAGATGGAAACATCCGGTACTACGAGATCAGCACTGAGAAGCCCTTCTTGAGTTACCTCATGGAGTTCCGCTCCCCAGCCCCACAGAAAGGCCTAGGTAAGTGTGGTCCAGAGGCTTCCATGGCTGTGATGCTATAAAAGAGAGGCTGGACGTTTGGCTCATGGGTCACCCTGCCTTTAAATGAAAGAGCAGACTCAGAAGCCCATAGCTCCTGGGCAATGAGCATAGAAGCTACAGCTGCTGGCCCTGAGGTCATCCCGCCCTCTTCAGCCAGCCTGTCAGCACCCACCTGACGGACTGCTAGTCCGCGGTGCCTGACGTCCTCCACCATCTCTGGTCATCAGCCCACAGGGGTGTTCACCATGTCTTCACTCCCGTCTGCAGATGGGGAGACTGCAGCCCAAAGTGGTTCTGACCCTGCGGGAGGTGGTGGCGTAACTAAAGGTCAGAGCAAGGTCTAGGCCCAGACCCTTTCCTGAAGCCTTTGGGAACCAGCACACCACCCAGTCCTCAGGAGCAGCTCTTTTCTTGCCTGAGAGGACAGGAGGAAGTTCTAGGGGGTCCCCATCACTGCACCCCCAGGCTCCCCAGAGGGCCTGGGATTGACGGAGCATCATGAGTCGGGGCAGGGATGAGATGTTCTTCACAGCCCACATTCTACCACCACTAAAGTCTTACAGCAAAATGTTCATTCCTGTCAACTAACACTGGCATCACATATCATTCAGCAATTCCCTGCTTGGGGTCAGAGTCATCCAGTTGGAAGGAGTTTCGTCCGGGGCTCTGTTCCCTCCTTACCTTGGAGCCCGAGTCTGGCTTGTTCCCTCTGGGGATCTGGTGTTATGGATAGGGCCTGCGAGCCAGCTTCCAGGTCATCAGTGCTGTAAGGGCCCAAAAGCCCACCTCAGTGACTGACAGCAAGATGGTGGCCCAGAGATATGCCTGAGGTCCCAATGAGCATTCCACTGACTTCAGCCTTCTCCGACTCGGTCATCTCCTCCTCACTGTCACCTCTTCATTGAGTAGAATAAAAACCAGCCTGGACTTTGGGTCAGACCTAGATTTACATTTGGACTCAAATGCATACCTCACCCTTCTGAGGCTCAGTTCCTCCATCTGTAAAATAGGGAAAACCAAACCTACCTTTAGGTAGGGCTGTTGTAAAGCTTAGATAGAGCACCTGGCAGAGCACCTGGTTCTTCCAGGTGCTCTTTCACATAGTCATTCAACAAACACTTACTGGGTGGCAGCCCCCAGACTCAGTGGTAAATAATATGTTACCCAGCCTTGCTCTCGTGGGGCTCACATTCCACGAAAGGGAAACAGACAAACAAATAGGAAGGAAAATCCTAGATGGTCGTAAGTTCTAGGCAGAGATTCAAATAAGGCAATAGAACTAGGGGCTATTTGGGGACCAGATAGTCAGGGAAGGCCTCACTGTGGAGGTGAACTTTTAAGCCGAGATCTATAAGGCAGGAAGGGGGAAGAGTAGGGCCAGCAGGAGGAACAGTCGGGGCAAAGTCCTTGTGGCAAGAATGAGCCTGGCATGTTCTAGAAACAGAGGTTAGTGTGATTAAGTATAGGCTCTGTAACGTGGCAGAAGATGGGGAGGGGGTTGGGATGTGAATCTGGAGCTAAGGGCAGGGGCCAGATGCCATGGGATGGATTAGAAGGATGTATTCGTGAAGGGGTCTCCAGAGAAACAGAAAAAAATATATATATATATATGTATATATATATATGTAATATATATCTCAGGGTCTTGAGATTGAGCCCTGCGTCAGGCTCCTTGCTCAGCGGGGAGTCTGCTTCTCCCTCTCCCTCTGCCCCTCCCCCTGCTCTCTCTCTCAAATAAATAAATAAAATCTTAAAAAAAAAAAAGTCCCATGATCTGCTGGCTTTCTGGAGACCCAAGTCAGTCCAAGTCTAAAGACCCGAGAACCAGGGAAGTGGACGGTGTGAATCCCAGTCTAAGGGCAGGAGAAGATGGCATGAGCTGTCCTGGTTCAGATGGTGAGGCAGGGAAAAAAGGGGTGGCTTCCTCCTTCCTCTGCCTTTTGTTCTGTTCAGACCCTCCGCGGATGGGATGATGCCCATCCACCCTGGGGAGGGTGACCTGCTTTCCCGAACCCGCAGACACATACAGTTAACCGTCACACAGGGGAAGGAGTTTGGGTTTTACTGGGAACTCACTGGAGGGTTTTCTTTGTCTTGGGCGGACGGGTGGGAGATGGGACAGCATGACGTGATCGGAAATGTTAGTCTAAGGTTGCTCTGGCTTCTGTAGGCAGAACGGGTTTGGTTTTCTTGTTTTTTGTTTGGGAGTGGGGGAGAACGGATTTGGAAAGCACAGGAGGGAGGCAGAGAGACCAGTTCGGAGGCCACTGTGGACTTCTAGCCAAGAAAGGGTGGTAACTGGAGAGGTGGCAGGAAGATGGGGCGATGAATCCAGGTGTTTAGGAAGTAAGGTCAGCAGGACTTGAGGAAGAGGGAAGAGGGGAGGGAGGAATCAAGGAGAATTGTTTCTCCTCTCTCCCTCATCTGTGGCCACTGTGGAGCATCTGCCGGGAGCCAGGCACTTTTCATAGGTTCTGAGTAGCTAAGTAGATCTATGTGACTGGCCAAGTGGCGGGGTGGGGGTGGGGGGAGGAGGTGGTCAGGCAGGTCACATAGATTCTAAGTGGCAGAGCCAGAATTCAAAGCCGGGTCTGCTGGCTCTAAACCCCACTCAGGTACCTTTACAGTACTTCTCTCCAGCTCCTAGAATTCCTTTATCTGGAAAAGCAGCCTTCCATTCCAGTCAAGGAGAGCTGGGACCTTAACTCAGGTTCACATCATGGAAAAAGAAACTAACGTTATCTGTGCTCACGATGTTGCCAGAGTGTCAACGAGCATCTTCTCGCTCAGTCCCCTGACCATCCCATGAAGGGTCATACTGTCCGCCTCTAACCAGCCAGGGAACCTGAAGCTCAGAGATGCAGTGAGGGTTTTTTTTGCCCCAGACCTCCCAGCCAGGGGGAGGGGCAGAGTCAGGACTCAGAACCAAGTGTGTCTGACCCCAAAGCTTGCGTTCCTAACCCCACACCACTCAGTTTCCTCAGTAGGTACACAGTAGACGCCGCTGTTAGGAACACGGTGGCTAGTGTGCACACGTGGATAAGTAGTACACGCCCACACTCAGGAACGCACACACGCAGGCACGCCCTGCCAGTCCCAGATATACGACGGAACAGCAATCTCAGGCTCGAGGGTGCATGGAGAAAGGTTTCTCTCTCCTTCGTTCTCTCTGAGGACCAGAAACACAGAGGCTGAGGGAAACTAGTTTATTTCAGAAGGTAACAGGCTCAGTGGCCCTGCCCTAGCCATACTCTGTGACCTGGGGCAAGCCCCCTCCCTTAAACCGGCAGGAGTCTCATCTATCAAAAGAATGGAATAGACTCAAATATTTCAATAGCCCCTAACAGTTACAAAAGGCCCCAGTTCCAAAGCATGCACTTGGTGAGGCACATCAGGCCCGAGGGGCTTATCTGAGATGTTGCTACCAGAGACAGAGCCTGGCCCCCAGCCCACCTGCTGCCCTGTGCCTAGATCATTGCCTCCTAAGTGCTCAGGGACACCTGGACCAAGGACATGAGGGAGGAGAGGCGCTGAGAGGTACCCCGGGATCCCACAGAGCTGCGTGTGCCTGTCCACAGGGGTCATGCCCAAGCATGGGCTGGATGTGTCAGCCTGCGAGGTGTTCCGCTTCTACAAGCTGGTGACTCTCAAGGGCCTGATCGAGCCCATCTCTATGATCGTGCCCCGGAGGGTAAGTGGGGCTGTGCTGGGCTCCAAAGGGACCCCCACACTCAATCCTAGCTGGCTCGCCACAGGCTATAAGCCTGGGGAACCCAGAAGAAGAAGTTCCTGTGGACTGGGGTCTTTGGGCCCAATTGGGGGGTGGCGGGGGGAAGATGGGGGCCATTCTAGGGTGGGGACAGTCTGGCTTGCTGACAAATGCAGGGTGGGGATTCCACGTGGGAGACGCTCAAGTGCTAAGGCTTGGGGGCAGAACAGCGGGAGCACAGTGGGAGGTCAGCCAGGAGGCACTGCTGAAGAGCAGGGGTTCTCCAGCGGCCCCTATCTGTCCACTCTTCTGCTCCCCCGCTGCAGTCGGATTCCTACCAGGAAGACATTTACCCCATGACGCCAGGCACGGAGCCAGCTCTGACCCCCGATGAATGGCTGGGGGGCATCAACCGAGGTACTTACTGCACGGGTGGGCTCCCCGGGAGAGGCTTCGAGACTGCAGCTTCTGCCTTCGCTCGGTTCACCCATTACCCCTCGCTGCAGCCTCCTGCTTGACCCCCCACACCCACCCACACACACACACACTCGACCAGCTGTCAAGCATGGTGTGAACGAAAGATGCCATCACTTCACATGCCACCAAATTGTCGGCATGAACGTTTCTCTTGCCTTCTGTAGATCCTGTGCTGATGTCTTTGAAGGAAGGCTATAAGAAGTCCTCAAAAATGGTATTTAAGGCTCCCATCAAAGAAAAGAAGAGCGTTGTGGTCAATGGAATAGATTTATTAGAGAATGTCCCGCCCAGGACAGAGAACGAGGTAAGGAATATAAGTTATTACGTCCACAGGTCCTGGAAGAGCGAGACCTTTACATTTCAATTATGGGCTTCAGGCCTCTAAGCTGGCTCCATCTGGGGCATTTTTCTTTCTGTGACAAATACCATAAGTAGCCTGCTATTGGCTTCCATTGCCTCTGACCCCAATAAATAGAGGCTGGGATCTGGTAGCGATATTGATGCCCCACCCCCACCCCTGGCCCTCACTAGCCAGACCCGCGTCTCATTTCAGAACAGGGTTGTCATTTGCTGTTATGGGAGTTATAAATTACTGACTAACAGAGGAAAGCCTGGCCTCATGCCTTACAGCACTGCCTTCCTCCCTGGCATCGTGGCAGTGACAGGGTCTGACAGTTCCCTGTTGTGGGGGAAGAGGCTATGTTTATGAAAGTACTTTGCACCCTTTAGAATGGGAGCAGCTCATTCTGATCCATGTCCCCCTGCCCCCCGAAGGCTTCTCCTTTCCACTGTACGCCCAGGCCCCAGTGCCAAGACCAGGGGCTGAGTTCAGCTCCGCCAGGGTTCACGGATGCCCACCCTGTGCCAGGCACTTTGCCTGATGCAGCTGAAGTAGAGATAGCTGCATGGACCCACCTGCATCTGAATCCGGGCTCTGCTATTTCCCGGCTGTGCCCAAACAAGTTTCCTGGCCTTTCTCCTGGTAAAGTGGGGATGGGAAATAACACATAGGAATAGCACAAGATACTTCCTAAGTGTCTAGCGCTCTTCCTGGCCCATATGAAGTGCTCAGTGAGGCTCCCTGTATTAGTTATCTATTGCTGTGTAAGGCGTCACTCCAAAACTTAGTGACTTAAACCCGTAAACATTTATTATCTCATAGTATCTCAGAATGGATGCCCATGGTTCAAGGTCTCTCAGGAGACCTCGTAGTTAAACTGGTGCCTGGGCTGCAGCCACATCCGAAGGCCCAACTGGGGAGGGATCTGCTTCCACATTCACTCACATGGTTGCTGGAAGGACTCATTTCCTCACAGGTTGCTGGACTGAGGGTCTCGGTTCCTCATGGATTATCAGCCAGAGGCGACCCTCAGGTCTTTACCGTATGGACCGCTCCGTAGGGCAGCTCACAACATGGTAGCTGGCATCCCTCCAAGTGAGCAAGAGAAGGTGTCCAAGATGGAAGTCATGGTCTTTTTGTAGCCTAACCTTGGAAATGACATCCCATCACTTCTGCCATATTCTATTCATCTGAAGCAAGTTTCCAGGTCCAGTCCACCCTTGAAGGGAGGGGTAACATAGGGGCTATATTAAAGGTTTCTCGTCACACCAACTTATGATTATCACTATTATTCATAAAAAGACCATTCCTGACCTCAGGGAGCTCACAGTCTTAAAGGAAAATTTGAAAGGTAAACTGATAATTGCTATACAGTATATTCAGTACCATTCTAGAGGGATGTTCAGATGTCTAGGATTGGATGGAATCGGGTGATAAATGAGATTTGCTTCAAAATAATCCCGGATAGAGGTGGTGCAGGTGAAGTGGGTAGGAATAGAGATAAAGCAAGAATGGTCACATGTTCTTTCTTAAAGCCGGTTAATGAGTACTTGGAGGTTCATAGTGCTAATCTTCCCACTTTTGTATCCATTTGGCATTTTTCATTAAAAAAAAAAAAAAAATTAAGCCCCCTGAGAAGGTAGAAGGTACCTGAGTTGCTGGGATAGCCCAGGTGGGCCCTAACAAGAGACTGAGCTCAGTTCTAGTACCCAGTGTAGGAGAGGCAGGGTTGAGCAGGAGTGAAATCAAGTAACATTTTGTTTCAACTTGTTTATATGAATGGAAACTGACGACCCAGAGGGAAATTTTCAAGGATCTCTGAGCAGGCAACACAGATGCCACAATCGGTCTGCACTAAATCTTGTACACCTTTGTTATTGCAAAGAAATCCACTCAGAGCCTGTTGACTCCGGGTTTATCCACAGTTTCAACTATCGCAGCCAACTGGGAGCAACCAATTAGAAAATTGGACTGTACATGGTGGACACATTGGTCTATGTGCGAAGAGAAACTGGTAGCTTGATACAGGGGAAGAGACATGAATACAACTCTGAATTCTAGTACAAATCAGTTAATTGTACACTTAAAATGAGTGGAATTTAGGGTATGTGAATTACACCTCAATAAAACCGTTTTGTTTTTTAAACAAAAGCTGACTAAAAGATTATGCAAAGGAATTTTGAGAACTTGGAAGCCAGGGAGTGCGTGAAGTCGTTGAATGCAGGGGCAAATAGCACATCATCCCTCCAAAGAGATGTAACCAGTACCCATTTGTTGGTTAAAAAAAAAAGAAGTCAGTTAAAGAAAGAATCATAAAAATGATAAAAACATTCTTTAAACCATTTATTTTCATTTAAGGCATTAAGTAAATAGTGCTGGCTTCGGCAGCACACACACTAACACATTAAAATACATACATACCTACATACGTACATCCTACTTTGATTCAGGACCAAGACTCTGCTTTGAGGAGATTCCTGGTTGGGAATCTGCTATGTCGTTCACAAATAAATCACCCTTTCACTCCAAATTGCAGTTTCAGTTTCTTTGAGGTGGAGCAACTGACCATGACTTTGAAAACAAAGCCCGAGTTTTTTTTCAGAGTTGTCCCCCGTTTTTTCTTGTTTTAGACAGATTTATTGAGGTATAATTTCCCTGGGGTAAAAGTCATCCTTTGCAGTGTCCCATTCCATGAGTTTTGACCAACACATACAGCCAGGTCACCACTATGGGACAATCAAGATATAAACTATTTCTGATCTCTTATGTTTACACCGCCCACCCCCAGCTCAGAAGCAACTCTGTTAGCATCCCCTTTATCTAACGCGTTCAACTTTGTTTTCCTGGGAACCTTTTCGAACCATTTCATTATTGTCTGTCCCATCTCACTAAAGTATACAGTTACAAAAACACATGCAGCTCACACCAGGGAATGTGAGGACACCCACAGGTGCGTGTCAGGAACATTCAGTTCAAGTGTGGGATCCTCCTGGGGCCCACTGCCTTGCAGGGCTCAGTGTTTTGCAGGCATCTGGCAGTCTGCTTTCCAGTGGGAGGGGCGAGACTGGTTAATCCAGGGGCTTGTCTAAGTAAAGGGCTGTCCGGTGCCCCTGCTTTGCCCATGCCCGCCCCACCAGTGAATGCCAGCGCGGTGCAGACCTTGGTGGCCGAGATAGTCCCCCCCCCTCCCCCGGCAGCAGAAAAGCGGGCTTCCATTCTGTATCTGAGCTTCCTTAAGAAAAGAAGGATACAAAACATTTTAGAAAGATTCCCATTCAGAATGGTAAATAAGAGTATTATGTCTGCACCCCTAAAAGGGTGAGCTCAAGATATTTGGGGAAGGGGCGGTGTTGGACTCCGAGGGGAAGTAGGAGCGGTGAGCTGGGTCTGGAGAAGGGCACCGCTGCAGGGACGAGAGCCTATGGGGACACTAAAGCCGGGGCAGGGGGAGAGGGGGAGGCAGGGGCGGGGCAGGCGCGACACCCGCTCGCGAGAACCCGCCTTCTCACCTGCTCTCTCCCGCCCCACCACCGCCCCTCTCTTCTTCGTCCACCCCAGCTCCTCCGAATGTTCTTCCGGCAGCAGGATGAGATCCGGCGGATGAAAGAGGAGCTGGCCCAGAAGGACATCCGCATTCGGCAGCTGCAGCTGGAGCTGAAAAACTTGCGCAACAGCCCCAAGAACTGTTAGCTCCCCGGCGGGGCTGCCTTCTAAGCTGACCTCCGATCTCTCCGTGGTGTCTCCGCGCCCCTAACTCCCCCTTCTCCGGCGCCCCCAGAGACAGAGCGGGGACTGGAGCTGGGGAACAGCCTGACAACCCCCACCTGGCCGCCGCCAGGACTGGAAGCTGACCTTTGACCTCTCGACCTCCTGCTGAGAAAGTCCCCAGCCTCTCCTGGAGACCCACCGCTGGAGACCCACCCCTGCCCTGCCTTTGCCTGGGAGGGGCGAAGACCATGGACTCCCTGCAGGGCGCCCTCAAAGGACCAGGGAGCAGAGGGCCAAGCCAGGACCCCAGCAGATGGAGAACTTGAAGTTTTCGCCCCCACCAAGGGGCTGCCGGGACATCTCGGCACTCCCTGCCCGGGCTCACAGCATCCCTGCCGTTGGCGCAATAAGGGCTGGATTACCGGCCCGGGCTGTCCAGCCTCCCCCGCCCCCGCACCTCCCTCCCTTCCCTGGCCAGCCTGGCAAGCCTGACTCACCTGACAAGGGTTGCAAGCAGCCCAGCTCCTTTCTGTCTCTTGCCCCCTCTCTCTTGTCTTCAGGGAATTAAGAGGATTGCTCACCAAGGCCATAATGACCCCTTGCCTTCCCATGATTCTCTTCAAAGCTCTTGGAACACCCCTTTCCCGTTTAATTTGTGAGGTAGGCAGGGTAGGGAATAGTGTCCCCATTTTACGAAGGACAGAACTGAGGGTTGCAATGGGGAAGTGACTTACGAAGTCTCCCAGAAGGTCAACAGTTGACCCAGGACCAGGACCCAGCATGTCCAGACTCTGGGCCAGGGCCCTTCCCACCGCATCAAGATGCCAGTCGCATGGGGGCTTCCCCAGCGCCCAAGTCTCTGTGGAGAATGAGAACTGGAAGCCACTTGCTACCATCTGCCCAACACCGTAGTGCCAATGTGTCACACCGCCCGGTTGAGGCCCCTCCCACTCAGTGCCCCTACCCGCTCCCGGCCCCCACCATCTGCTCTCCCTCCCCAGGGGACTCCCTCAGATGAGGCCCCTTCCTCCTGGAAGCCAAGGCTGAGAAAGGTGGAGCTCGGCCCCGGGGAAGGCGGAGCAGGGGTCTGATCACTTCGAGGGATGCTCCGCACATGTCTCTCGCCACTTCTGTCTCAGCCACTTTCAGCCTTACACTCGTAGAAGGACCACAGCCCCTCCTGTCCGTATAGCACTTTAAAGTTTACACGGTTCTTTGACCCGTAGCATCTCATTTAAGCCTCACATCCGCTCCAAGAGGTGGGGAGCATTCTCCAAGCCTCACATCCACTCCAAGAGGTGGGGAGCATTACGCAGATGAGGACATAGAAGTGGCCCAAGGTCACAGGACTCTTTGAGATGTCACATTTCATTTGGTCTTCTACACATTTTCTTTTTTGTTTCCTTATTTTCTCCCGTCATTTCCCACTACCCACAGAGTCTATAAACACTGCTGTCAGAAAAGTCACATTTCAGGGGCGAGATCTGGCCCGGGGGTCAAGAAATGGGTGTCCACTCCTCTCTCATTAGCTAGGATCTACTAGATGCATTATGCCCCATACCCGCTTTTCCTGTGGCCACCCTGCAGTACATCCCTCAACAGAGGCCGGGGCTCCCTCAGCTCCTCCAGGTCCCCTGGGCAGGGAAAGCCCCCCAGCCCTCAGGCTTTTCCTCCAAGAACCCTCCACCCTCTCGGCCAGCTAAAGCAGGGTCTCCGGGCCCTCCACCCCCTGCAGCTAGACAGTGTCTGCTCTCATCTCCTCACACTTCTGGACCTTTTTTTTCTTCCCCATTGACCTTTGTGGTCTTCTGTGATTATTTATGCTGCCTCCCAAGGATAGAATTGAAATAAAATGTTTTCAACTTACCAAATGTGGACATGACCCTCTCATTTAATCCCGGTTGCTGCCACTCTTGGTCACCATGGTATCTTGATGGTCAACTTCCCAGCCACAACTCTTGCCTTTCTGGAACAACAAACCATGTCTGTGCCTACAGATATCATTTTACACTTTTGTTCATCGACAGCAAGGCTTCTGAACCAGCACCACTGACATTTGGGGCCAGATAAGTCTTTGCTGTTAGGGCTGTAAGATGTTTAGCAATATCCCTGGCCTCTGCCAATCAAACACCATAGCAGCCCCTACCCAGTTGTGACAAGTAAAAATGTTTCCCAGGATCACCCAATATTCCCTAGGATAGAAAAATCGCCCCCAGGTGAGAACCACGGTTCTTCAGTTATTCGGTAAGCATCTGCTCTGGTTAGGGTCTGGGGGACACCAGTGTTTTACACTGGAATGACGCTTCGCAGTTTCCATGTACTTGATTCTTGATCTTCACAGCAGCTCTAGACGCTGTGTTCTAATATTATTTCCATTTTCAAGAAGAGCAGTCAGATCCAGAGCAATGAAGTGCTCAAGGTCACTCAGCTGGTGTAATGGGGAAGACACACAAGGATGTGGATTTTCTGAGCCCAGAGCTGGAGGAGGCACATGCTCCCAGTCCCCCCGGTCAGGCTCAGTGCTGGGCAGAGTCTGGTCTGAGAGGAGGGTTGGGGCCCATCATGAGACAAGGGATGGTGGGCAGGAGGGGCTGCCGGGCCCGGGAGACACTCCCTCTCTCACCAAGCCAAGGTTGTCATGGAGCAGACTTGTCAGGCTGCAAAGTGGGCAGGTGCGTGGCAGGGCGGACACCACAGGGAACTCACAAGAGCCAGAGGAAAGCAAGGAAAGTCAGAAAAGAGGGCTGGAGAGGAAATGGCAAAGGGCGGCAGGGGAGCTTTGGGCAGGACGCAGGAGACCTCAGTTCTGCCTCTGACTGGCTGTGTGACCTCAAGTAGTTCACTACTCCTCTCTGGCCCTCACTTTCTCCTTCTATAAAATAAGGGAATAAGACAATTTTAGGGTCCCTTCCTGGTCTAACAGTTCAGTTTCCATTATGTGAGCAGTTGAGAGCATGGGACAAATCACCAAGAGTACCCAGTGTCCAGCTCAAGTCGTGTGAACAAGAAATATGTCAGGAGAAAAAAAAAACAGCAGAACGGTGTCTTGTGGGGTTTGGGTGCAGAAAAGTACTTTTGCCAAACATGAGTTCGAACAAAGACACCTCTAGAGTTTCTGCTCTAGATCATCGCACAAAGTCCTGGGCTTGAAAAAAAATGTTGAGGTCACTGAGAGTCCGGTTATTGGGAGCTCCTTCTCCTGGCTGGGACGCTGAGGAAGAGGCATTCTACCTTGACTGAGACATCGTCCTCCCCAGGTTCAGGGGAGCTGGTGAATGGACAAGGAGACCTGTCTCATGTGTGCCTCTGTCCCACCGAATCCCCAATTCTGAGCCCAACTGGCCTGCTCTTTAATCACTACCAAAATAATGGCAAATTGTCCAAGGTCAGGGTCGAATGTGATTTCCCCCAAGTAGCCCATTTTCCCAGCAGCATTGTTGAATAACCCATCAGTTCCTCACTGGTTGTCTTTAGGTCCTTTAGTTCTCATATGCTAGAAAATATCCCATGCCTGGTCTGTGATGCTGATCCCTCTGCCAGTTATGTCCTAGCCCACACATTGTTTTGACTGTTGTAACCATGTAGGAAAGCAAGCCCCTTTACGGCTCTTTGAACCAGCTTCTATAGCCATGTTCCCCAGCTCATACTTGCTCCCTTCTTTTCTCCAGGTGAGGCTATCTTAGGCTAAACTCCAGATCCTTCTCTTCTTTGGAGAGGTCCCTCCTGGGCATACCTAGAACTCCTTGTCCTGCACCCCAGACACCTACTTGAATCTTCAGCAGAGTCCAACACATGCCGAGTAGCTGGATCTACTCAGTACTGGGTCCTGGGAATCCAGAAATGGGAAAGAACCAGGCCTGCCCTTGAAGGGCTCTGCCAGGAGCCCATCTATGGGCATCATGTGGCCCAATGGGACACAGAACTCCTGGAGGCTGGAAAATGAGCTTTCCCTTCTGCTGGGTTCAATGTGGGGTAAGTGGTTGTTTTGGGATTTGTTGTCTCCTGGGTTCTCTTCCAGCCAGATTCCTGAGATTCCGAGATGGGCTTGGGGCATTTTTAGACTCTCTGCTGGTGCTGAGCAAAACACCCTAGGTTGCCAGTGGAGCATGTAGGATGTAGCTGCTTCTTCACTGTGGGAAATGACTTCCTACTGAAAACACCCCCACCACCAGGCCCCTGCTTCCCAGCCTTACTGTTTGGAAGGGCCACACACACTCACAGGTGCTACCCAGAGCAGGAGCCGACACTTACCTCGACCACAGGAAGCATTACCAGATCCCTTTCCTCCCCGGAGGGTGTGTGGGGCAGGGAGGGGAGGAGGGCTCTGTCTGGGATGTTGGCAGAAGCTCCTTGTTCTCTGTGCACATGTGTTTCTATTTGGAAACAACCTGCAGCCTGTCATTCCTTGGGATTTTAATTCGGTCACAAACACAAATGGGTCAGCCTTACTTGGCGCAGGTGAGCCTCGACAGGGCCAGGTCTGAGCAGTCCTACGACGCTCCTGGCTCGGAGGCCCTCCCTTGCAGCTGGCTATCACACTGCAAGCTACTTCCCGTTAGTACATAGCCCCTTTGGGTTAAGCACTGCCTTTGCCGGAGCCCTCTTCATAGACAGACGCGTCCCGGGGGCTGGGATGCTAGCGTGAGTAGGGTTAACACGCCTAGTGAGGAAAACATGGGGCAGTGGAGAGGGGCGGGCCTCAAGTGGGAGGGCGGTGGGGACACTGGATGGAGATCCGGGATTTCAAGGTCACAGTGATTAAGGCAAGATTCAAAGACCAGGAAGGGTTTGCTGGGAGCCTGAATCCAGCCAGCAGGTGGCAGCTGATGGCCTTCCTATCAAGCCCATTTTTCCTGAGCTGGGTCCCTTCTGCCACCTCCCATGCCACCCCAGAATTAATGACCCAACTGTAGGCCCCAGGACTTCATGGCAAAGCAGACACACGGAAGAGCCAGGATCTGAAATGCTCCTAGTATAGAAGAAGGGAGGCTCAAAAGGGCAGCCAGGCCCTCTCCCTGCCCCAGCCCAGCTGCCTCAAGAAGCAGCCAGAGGAGGGCGCTCGTGCCTCCTTCCTCCAAGGCCACCTGCCCTAAGAAGCTGGAAAGAGGCTAGATCTGGATTCCTGTCCCTGGCCTGCTCTGTGACCTTGAGCAGCTTCCCCCTCCCCCACCCCTCCCCGTGACCCCCTTCCCTTAGGGACAATGACAGGGAGGGCCTGGAGAGTCTGCAATTCCAGGAGGCTTGGGCCTGAGGAGGGGACTGAAGGAAGAGCTGGGGACAGGAAGCATGGGGAAGAGGAAAAGGCGGGTGGGAGGAGCAGGGTCCCAGGCCAGACAGACTTCTGCTGCCTGGTGGTCATAGCCCACCCAGCCCTGGGGCTCACCAGTGCCAGCCCTGTGCAGTTCCCAGGAAGTTACTGATGAGAGGGATGGGAGCGGCCTGGGGCACAAGAAGAGGGGGTCACAGCCAGACCACGGAAGCCCTAAATCCCTGCTCTGGGCGCTGGGCTCCACTCTCTGCACCCGGGAGCCACGGAAGGAATGGAAGCGGGAATGGACACCTTCTTCTAGCTGCTGTGAGGCGAAAGAATCAGAGGGCAGCCCTGAAGCAGGGAGTCCGGTGGGGGCTGGCGGGCCCGTGGTCCAGGGGGGCATCCAGGGGAAGGTGGGACACGGCCGCAGTCAGGGCAGGCTTCAGAGTGGATGTCTGTGGTCAGGGGGGTGAGGGCAGGAGGAAGGGGATCAGGGCTAGGGATGGGGACATGGGAGAAGAGCCCCCCAGGAATGGAACCAGAGCTGGGAGATGAGCCGCCCTCTGCCAACAGACGGGGCCCTCCACAGAGGTGGGCACAGCGCTTCCCACCTCTCTTAAACCAGCACCACCCGACGGGACAGAGGATAGCATGGCCGCCGCACCCGGCTTAGCAAGTGTCCTTCGGATTAATTCGATTCTTTTTTAATATCTGCATTTTTCCACA